CTTTTTGGAGGTGTCTTTGCCTGGTTTTGGAATAAGTGTAATACTGGCTCCATAAAATGTGTTATGCAGTTTTTGTTCCCTTTCTATTTCTTGGAACAGTTTAAGGAGGGTTGGTATCAGTTCTTCTTTAAAGGTTTGATAGAATTCAGCAGAGAAACCATCAGGTCCTGGACTTTTCTTCTTTGGGAGACTCTTGATTTGCTTCAATTTCATTTTGTGTTATAGATCTATTCAGGTGATTAATATTCCTCTTGGTTCAGTTTTGGATGATCATATGTATCTAGAAATCTGTCCATTTCTTTAAGATTTTCAATTTATTTGAATATAGGTTCTCAAAGTAGTCTCTGATGATTTCCTGGACTTCCATGGTGTTTGTTGTTATCTCCCTTTTGCATTCCTGATTCTACTAATTTGGGTTTTTTTCTCCTCATTTTAGTCAGGTTGCAGGGGTCTGTCAATCTTGTTTATTTTTTCAAAACCAACTTTTTGTTTCATTAATTTTTGTATGTTTTTTGGTTTCTATTTCATTGATTTCAGCTCTTATTTTATTATTTCTCTCCTTCTATTTGTTTTGGGATTTGCTTGTTCTTGTTTTCCTAGGAGTTTGAGATTTATCATTAGGTCATTGATTTGGGTCTTTCAGTCTTTTTAATATATGCACTCATGGCTATAAACTTTCCTCTCAGGACTGCCTTTGCTATGTCCCATAGGTTCCGGTAGGTTGTGTTTTCATTTTCATTGACTTCCAGGAACTTTTTAATTTCCTCTTTTATTTCATTCATGACCCATTATTCATTAAGTAATGAGTTATTCAGTTTCCAGTTGTTTGCATGTTTTTTGTCTTTACTTTTGTTCTTGAGTTCCAGTTTTATTGCATTGTGATCAGATAGAATGCATAGTATAATTTCTATTTTCTTATACTTGCTGAGGCTTGCTTTGTGCCCTAGGATATGATCTATTTTGGAGAAGGTTCCATGGGCTGCTGAGAAGAAATGTATATTGTGTAGAAGTTGGATGAAATGTTCTGTAGACATCAAGTAGGTCCATTTGATCTATTGTATATTTTAGATCTAGGATTTCTTTATTGATTTTTTGTTTGGATGACCTATCTATTGATGATAATGGGGTGTTAAAGTCTCCCACAACCACTGTGTTGGAGTTAATATATGCTTTTAGGTCTTTCAGGGTATTTGATGAAATTGGGTGCATTGACATTGGGTGCATATAGGTTGATAATTGCTATTTCCATTTGGTCTATTTCCCCTTTTATTAGTATGGAATGTCCTTCTTGATCTCATTTGATCAATGTAGGTTTGAAGTCTACTTTGTCAGAGATAAGTACTGCTACTCCTGCCTGTTTTCAGGGGCCATTGGCTTGGTAAATCTTCTTCCAGCCTTTCATCCTAAGCCTATGCTTATTTCTGTCAGTGAGATGGGTCTCTTATAAGCAACAAATTGTTGGATCTTCCTTTTTAATCCATTTCATCAAACGGTGCCTTTTGATGGGTGAATTAAGTCCGTTAACATTAAGTGTTAGTACTGATAGGTATGTGGTGATTCCGGTCATTTAGTTGTCTTAGTTGATTGAAGGTTTGATTTTGTGTACCTAAGTTGAGGTTACTCTCTACTTTCTTGCTTTTTCTTTTCCTGTAGTTTGGTGCTGCCTGCCCTTTCATGGTTATGTTGGATTTCACTTTCTGTGTGCAGAATCTCTTGAAGAATCTTTTGTAGTTGTGGCTTTGTGGTCACATATTGTTCTAATTTCTGCTTATCATGGAAGACTTTTATTGCTCCATCTATTTTGAATGATAGTTTTGCTGGGTAGAGTATCCTGGAGTTGAAGTTATTTTCATTCTGTTCCCAGAAGATCTCACCCCAAGCTTTTTTTGCTTTTAATGTTTCAGTTGAGAAGTCTGCTGTGATTTTGATGGTTTTACCTTTGTATGTTATTTGTTTTTCTCTCTTATAACCTTCAATATTCTTTCTCTATCTTCTGAACTTGTTGTTTTAATGGTGATATGTTGTGGGGCAGTTCTATTTTGATCTGGTCTGTTTGGTATTCTGGAGGCCTCTTGCATTTTCTGTTTGTTGTATTCTGCTGGATTGGCCTTCCATTTTGCTTTGCAATTCTGTTTCATTCTTTTTTCTGAGGTTTTCCATATCCTGGGTCATTTCATCTTTAATATTGTCTATTTTTGTCCTGAGTTCATTTATCTCTTTATTAATCATGTTCTTTGTTTCACTTTGGTGTTTATACAGTGCTCTATGATTTCCTTTATTTCTTATTTTGCTTTTTCAAATTCTCTATTTTTGTTGTCTTGGAATTTCTTGAGTGTCTCCTACACATTTTGGTTGACCATATCCAGTATCATCTCTATAAAATTCTCATTGAGTACCTGTAGTATTTCTTCTTTTAGATTATTCTTGTGGGCTTCATTGGGTTGTTTGGCATAGTTTATCTTCATTTTGTTGGAGTCTGGATCCGGGTATCTGTTTTCTTCATTTCCCTCTGGTTCCTGTACTAATTTTTTGCTGTGGGGAAACTGGTTTCCCTGTTTTTTCTGTCTTCCCATCATTGCCCTTGGTGTTGTTATTGTCCCTGTACTGTGTGCAATTAAGTATTTTCTAGCTTGGCGAGAGCACACAAGGGAGGTGTGAGGATAGGTAAGACATCTAAAAAATTAGCTAGCATTTGTTGCCCTTAACGTGGAGAAACTAAAGCAGATACCTTAAAAGCAACTGAGGCCAATAGGAAAAGGGGACCAGGAACTAGAGAAAAGCTTCGATCAAAAAGAATTAACCTAGAAGGTAACACACACACACAGGAAATTAATGTGAGTCAACTCCCTGTATTGCTACCCTTATCTCAAGTAGCAAAACCCTTGTTCCTTCCTATTATTGCTTATACTCTCTCTTCAACAAAATTAGAGATAAGAGCAAAATAGTTTCTGCCGGGTATTGAGGGGGTAGAGGGGGGAAGGAGGGGGTGGAGTGGGTGGTAAGGGACAGGGTGGGCGCAGGGGGGAGAAATGACCCAAGCGTTGTATGCACATATGAATAATAAGACAATAAAAAAAATATTTTCTAGCTTGTAATAATAACACTGGTGATATTTAGAATGCAAGGGTGAAAGGAGATGGAAAGCAAAGAAGTTAAAGAAAAAGGGAAAAACAAATAAACAAGTAGAAAAAAACAAAAGAAAGAAGCAAACAAAAAAAGGTTCAAAGATATAAACAGGGAGAGACAGTGTACTACTCCACAGTAATCTGAACAGGCATTAGAGAGACAGAGAGAGGAGTGAAAATAAAATAAAATAAAAATAAATAATAAATAAATAAATAAAATATATATTTTTAAAAATCCACATTCAAATGCAATAAAGTTTCAGTCTTAATAATTTTGTTATTCGTCCTTCAGCCTCCAATCCTGGAGATGGAGTCAGAAGTAGTTCTGTCATTGTCTCCTCAAAGGGGAAAAAAACTAAAACAGTACAAAACAAAAAAACCCACAAAGTGTCCCAAGTTCAAATGCAATACAGTTTCAGTAAGTTTTTCAGCATGCAGGTGTAGTTGGTTGTTTTCTCTTCAAAGGTAGGGAGAGAGAAAAAAAAGAGTCTGGAGACAGTTCTGTGAATGGCTATCTGTGGCTGTGGCTTGCCTGCCCACTGCTGTCAGTCTGCTGTTGCTGACTGAGATGAGCTTATCACTCACCTGGCTTTGTTTACTCAGAGTTCTCCTGTGTGCGAGCCTCTACTACAAGCCTTCCCCTTTTCAAGCACACTGGGGGAGGTGACACTGCACCTGTTTTCTCAGGCCAGCTTGTTTATTTACAGCTCATGTGGGAAGAGGGTCTTCCCCCTTCTCCTGTGGAGTTTTCCTCCCACCAACACTTTTACAAGCTTTCTAGCTCCTGGTTGCTGGGTGTGTGCTGCTGCTCCCCCACTCTTCAGGGCTCAGGGCACCCCACTTCTTTGCTATATGTCTTTTTTTTTTGTTATTGCTTATTATTCAGTTTCTCTTTTTTTCCCTGGGTGGAGGTTGATCTGTCTAGGGGACTATGCTGTTCTGGCCCAGGATTGTCTGTGGGAATACCATGTATCACTTAGCTCACCTTGTGGTCCACATTTTCCCAAGCCATCTGGGCACTGCCATCTGGTGGCGGTGTGGAAACCCTCCTGGTTTCTCTGTTTAACGTGAAGTGGAGATGGTATGCACAGGCTGGTGGTATGGAGGAGTCGAAGTTTTGCCTCTTCTTGGTGGTTTTGTCTGTAAGGTGTATCTCCAGCATCTCTTCAAGATTTTACTTTAGGAGGCACGCTTTCTGCTTCCTCCCTCTAGCCGCCATCTTGGAATCCCCTTCTGCCTATTCTTAAACATTACACAAGCAAATATTTATCAAGCACTTATGGAGACTGTATCACCTCTCCTCACATCATTTTAAATGTTCAATTGTGGAATACAGAGGAAAGAAACTATATTTTTCAATGATTCTTTCAGTTAGCATTGTCTAGAGATAAAATACTTTAAGTTATCATCATAATAGAAATAGAAAGGAAAGCTTGAATATTTACTCAAAACATTAAATCCTGTGCATAAAATATTCTGTTTTTAATACAATAATCATAGAATATATTTTAGAGGGCTTAATAATTTAAAGGGAAATATGGTAGCATTTTGTGGTGGTTCACAAAATTCATAGATTCTTTTCAGTTGATAATCCTAAAACTTCAGACTAAGAGGATCATCTAAATTACCTCTTCATTGCTCATTGCACGAGCATGACTAAGAAAGGATAAATGACTTGCTCAAGGTCACTCGGACAGTTAGGAACAGTGCTGGAGTTGAATGCAGGTCTCCTGGGCCAAAATATCAAGGAACAGTTTTCACAAGGAAAAAACAACTAATCTGCCTTGTCAGCTGTGTCAATCCACTCAGACAATATCAAGGTCAGTATCTGCTAAGAAAATCACCCTTCACTGAAATTATCTTCTTGGTTCACAGGTCTAAAAGCATGAAGACAGTGCTCTTTTTCCTCTACATATTGGGAACTGCAGCTGCAATCCCGGTAAATTTCCTTTCTTCCTCTTGACATTTAGTTTAAAAAGTTTCCATTCTGAAGAAAATATACTTGAACAGAACATGGTGGCTCAGGCCTATAATCCCAGTGCTTGTGAGGCTGAGACAAGAGGATAGTGAGTATGAGGCCAGCCTGGTCTACATAGCAAGACCCTGTCTGAAACAAGCAAACAAAAATTTCTTATACAGTAGCTTGAGATTTTTTTTTATTTCAATTTTGTTCTTTATTTCCCAAGCAGTGAATGCATGACTAAAAAAAAATCAAAAGATGATAGTATTTAAAAATATTTTTTCAGAAATAAATGGATGGAACTAGAGAACATCATCTTAAGTAAATTTAGCCAATCTCAGGAGGCCAAAAATTGCATGTTCTACCTCATATGAGGATTATATACCCAAAACAAATGCAGTAATATTATTGGACATGGGTCCACACACTAAGGGGAGAATGCACACTGGAGGAATAGGGAAAGGGAAGGAAACCTAAAACTTGAATGTGGTTGATGGTTCACTGTAGAGAAGTGAATGTAGTAATCTTAAACTGGCAGAGGCAACTATGGGAAGGGGACTAGAAAGTAGTGAAGAAGTCTGGTAGAGATGAACCAATGTAGGTTGCAATACACAAGAGCATGGAAGATAGCTCTCTGTATAGTTATCTTTATCCCAAACTAGCAAAAATGATATGTCTTTCTTACTATCTCTTATGTTTTCTCTTCTACAAAATCAGAGAAGAAGAGGGCAGAACATGTTCTGCCTAGAAGCAGGGTGTTGGGGGGGGTAGAGGAGAAGGTGGCACAAACAATGTATCCTCACCTGCATTTTCTCAAAATGAAATACATGCTGACTGAGAAATTTGGAGAGTATGTAATAAAAACAAGAATCAATGAGTTAAGGACCAGAAATGCTACGCCAATCATAAATTGGCTTCCAACTCATGTTTGGGGGGCTGTCCAAGCAAGCATGCTGAAAATAAACAGGACTGGAACATCTCTACCTTATGATCAAATAACCAGCCCCACCAGTCACAAACAATAAAATTGTTACATGCAAATCAGATCACTCAAGACCATGTCAGCCACCTCAAAACAACCTGAAAGGGTTTTTGGGACCATGGCTTGGATGATAACTTCAAATGTCCTCCAAATGATCCATGTCATATTTAATTAAGCCAAAAGATCTCTGCTATTGTTTTTTTTTTTAACCAAATGTAAGAATCAACCTCCTTTAATTAGATAAAGAAACTTCTCTAGTGTCCCTTCCTCTCTAATATCAGAGTCTGTCCTTGCTTTTTGGATAACTGGTGGCTGCTTCTGGTTAACATTTGTATTAACAAAAACAAATTCCATGCCACCCTGATCAGGCAGTTCTTAGAAAAGAGAATGTATGATCACCTCTAAGAATCATGCTTAAGTAGTGTGGAGCTAATCCAGCTGAAATTACACATTGTATTCTGAAATTACAAAAGTGGGACAAACTAACACAGAAAGGAGTTCCCACAGAACCATTGTTTTCTCCTGAAAATGTGCCTTGCCTTTGCAATGGTTGTGGTTTTATAAATAGGCATCAAAAGTCTCTTTGAACCAAATGTTTGAACAGCATGCCCACATATAGACACATGCCAGATGTTTCCTTTCTGGGGCAGTTTGTTCTTTGCAGACCAAGTCAAATGCTGCAAAGCTAAATATCTTCCACAGGATTAACCTATTAAAAAGCTTCTATGGTCTACCTTCTATCATCTTTCTTATCTGCTTGAACTCTCCAGAAGTAAGTGAATTCTGAGTGGTTGGGAAATTCCAAATGGATTCCCAGGGGGTCACATGAAATAAATATGAATGTGGGCATACAGATAAAATACAATTTTAATTAACAGATATTTATGAAAAAAACACACCTGTAATTCTAGTTACTTGGGAGGCTGAAATCAGGAAGATCTTGGTTCAAGGCCAGCTATGTGGGAAATTGAGATCAGGAGGATTATACTTCCAGGCCAACTCCACAGAAAAGTTCCAAGACCCCATTTCAATGGTTCTGGGCATTATTGCATGTGCCTGTCATCTCAGTGGTGGCAGGAAGCATAATAGGAGGGTCCAAGTTCAGGCTCACCTGGGCAAAAAACAAGAATGCAACTCTATGTCAAAAATAACCAGAGGGGAGGGGGGAAAATAACCAGAGAAAAAAGAGCTGGCGAGATGGCTTAAGTGGTATAGCACCTGCCTAGCAAGCACAAAGCCCTAAGTTCAACCCCCATACCAAGGAAGAAAGGAAGGAAATGAGGAAGGGAGGGAGGGAAGGAGAGAGGGAGGGAGGGAGGGAGGAAGATGAGATGCTATCACTTTTTGCATTTCTTCCTATGGGGGGCATAAAATGGATGAGGGGAGCAAACAGAGAGAGGGGTCACCCACTAACAAGCCTAATACACACACACACACACACACACACACACACACACCCTCAATTGCCTTCCATGATACCCCTGTCAGCAATTCACCAAAACAGTCACCATGCTAACAGTTTTCTTTCTCCTTTCCCCTTCCTTTACACTGCTTTGAAACTTTTTCAAAGACTATTAATCCTCTTAACTGAAAAAGGGATAAAAAGCAAAAGAGCAGACCTAGTCCGAACTAGGTCCTGTACTGTATGGCTTTCCTTATAGTACATGGTCAGTACTACTGGACTTGCTGATGGAATAAAAATGAGTCCATCCAAATAGAACCTGAGTTTTATCCTTACACCTGGACATGTCTGCAATCTGGTGCTCCGCAGCACCTCATGATAAAGGTCCAATGTGAACACCTGCCCCAGATATTAGGCAGTTCATATTACTACCACCATATGAATTACTATTCAGAATAATAATTTTCACTTGGATAACTCCTCAAAATTTACAAAACAGTTTATGTACATAACTTTATCTAACTATTTCTGCTCACTTCACATTGTGAAATAGATAGCAAGGTAGAGATTAACAACTCGTCAAACCACAATAGAAAGTAAATAACAGAGTCAAGACTTAGCCCCCTTACCTCCAAGTCCAGTTATCCAACTTACTCATCATGCATCATTGCCCAACTCTTCATCTACATCACCAGTCTTGCCAGAAATAGACACAGCCATTGCTCTTCTTGAAATACTTCATAACTGCCTTTTCCTACTAGCTTGGTGCCCTATTCCACACAATCTTTGAATTAGTTCTATATTAAATTGGTTTTATAAAACAGTTCATGATAGATGTTAAACTAGGTAGTCAAAAATTTTATAACCTTTTCTGTGAATTATTAGTGAATATTTAAATGTTAAACTAAGGCATTATATAATATTACATCTTATAGTTAATTTTATTTGACTTTAACTTTTTACTAAAAAGCATTTTTCAAAAATACAAAGTAATAATGCTTTGTAAAAGTTTGAAAAACAGAAAATGAAAATAACTCCAAAGTTCAAAGATAATCATTATTGAAATCATTTCTTGTTTTGTTTTCACCCAGTATCTACTTATGTTACTTTTTCTTAAACATAATTGGAGTTCTGCTTTCACCTAACATTATATTCAGATATTTGCCTGTGTCCTCAAAAATTCTAGTTAATACCTCTTCGTTGAGGTTATAAATGAAGTATATTGCTACCAATAATGAGGATAACAAAAGAGTGACTAACAATTTTAAAAATTAGCATTTAGATATAACATTAACAAGTTTTTAATTCTTTCAGACAAGTGCCAGGTTTTTATCTGACCATTCCAAACCAACTGATGAAACACTGGTGACTCCCGACAATACTGCCATCCCCATGGTGAGGGAGGAAGCTGCAGAAAATGAAAAGGAAGTTGCAGAATACACAGAAACCCATTCTGACCATAAGGTAAAAGTAACATCACAATATCAATATAATTTTTTATTTTAACAAAGAACTCAGTATCAGGGCATGGTCAAAGACATTATTCTATTCATTTCATAGCTTAATATTTTTAAACATGATGATCCCATCATTTGCCTCTAATCACTAAAAGTATGAAGACTAATGAGTTTACTCCTTGGGCTGAGGTGCTATATGATTGTTCAATTTTATAAAATTCAGATTAAACCTGTGGCTACAGAATGTAAAGAACATAAATACACTTACGTGAAAATATATAAAGAAAATGATGACTATTTAATGTTAGCTTAGGCATTGTAAATATGGTAACATTTGTTTCAAGAACAAACTTTTGTCCTTTTAAGGATGAAAAATCTTCAATACAAAGGTCAGAAGAGGAAAATCATGAAGAGTCAGCAGAACAGGACAAGACTTACAGCCAAGAGCTGGGAGTGAAGGATCAGGAGGATGGTGATGGTGATCTAAGTGTTAATCTGGAGTATACACCAAGTGAAGGTACCTTGGACCTAAAAGAAGATATGACTGAACCTCAAAAGAAAATATTCCCAGAAAGCACTGATGTCCCTGCTGTTGCTTTAAGTTCCTTTGTGGATTCTAACCAACAAGAAAATATCACAAAGGAAGAGGAAAACCAGGAACAACCTATAAATGATTCACATCATGAGTTGAACAAGAACAGTTCACATAGCCAAGATCTAACTAATGAAGGAAACCAAGAGCAGGATTCAAATATTCCCAATGGAGAAGAGGAAGAGGAAAAAAAGCCAGGGGAAGTTGGTACTCCCATTGATAACCAAGAAAGGGAAAAGGAATTTTCCAGGGAGCATTCTAACAGCAAGCAGGAGGGAGATAGTAACCAATATGATGATATTTTGGAAGACTCCAACCAACCAACTCAAATAAGCAAGATGCAGAAGGATGAACTTGAGCAGGGTAACCAAGAGCAAGCAGATAACACCAATCCAGAAATGGAAGAGGACCATGCATCAAATAGCAATAAGCACATTCAAGACACCAAACGGCAGAACCAAGAAGGAAAAAGTGACCTTGAAGTTATTGGCAACTACAAGAACATGGATAAAAAGACTGTTCCCACAGAACCTACTAATGATGGTGACATCACACCTAGACATCATGGGGCCAACAGTGACAGGGATAATGATGACCCTAGGCACATTGAAAGTGATGACTATTTCATCCAAGAGAGGACTTTTTAGAGGCTGAAAGAAGTCAATCTACTGCCTATTACCTCAAATCTGAGCAAGAAAGAGCTCATGAGCATGACAATGGAGGTACCAGCGAGGCTGGAGAGGAGCAAGACGTAAGATTATTTACAATAATGGACTTTCTCTGTGCACACTCACAGTCTCCTGTGTGTATTTCTATCAGTACATTGCTAAAACATATTATAGGCTGAGTATCCCTTTATCTGAAGTGGTTAAGACCAGAAGTGCTTCAGATTTCATATTTTTTCACATTTTGGGATATGTGTTTACACATAATGAGATATCTTAGAAATGGAACCCAGGTCTAAACATCAAATTCATTTATGTTTCCTATACACTTTATACACATAGCCCAAAGGTAATTCTACACAATAGTTTTAGTGTGTCTGCATTTTGACTATGACCCAAGACATCAGATTGAGTATGGAATTTTCCACCTGTGGTGCCATGTCACCACCAAAATACTTTGGATTTTGGACCATTTAGGACTTCAAATTTTCAGATTAGTGATGTTCAACCTGTATAATTATTTATTTTTCTGTCCATATCCATTATTAGATTGAAAACACCTGCTTTATTTGAGTTCCTTTCTAGGGAAACTTGGGTTCAAGTGACAGTTTTTTGAGAAGTGCATTGGGCAATGATAGAAGAGTGGAGAAACACTGTAAGCATGGAAAGAAAGCTTTAATAAAAAGAACATAATTAAACCATCTAAAGAAAATTCCTAAGAATGATTCCATTTGGGGAATGAAGGAACTGGGTGGTCATTTTGACTGGGAGTTCCTAAAGGGTATTAATTCCCCAGCTCTTTGGGTCTGTCCTTTCAGCAAACCAACTAGATTTCCATGGTTTTCCAGGCCAGGAAATGAAGAGAGTAGTAGTCAAAAGGCCCTGGGACTAGTGGGAATAAATTATAACAGATCTGAAAAGTGGGGGACACTGAAAACTGCAGCTCAAGTGTCTTGAAGCAAGTGCCATGTTCAATTGCAGTTAAATCATCAACGTGTGACAAATGCCTCTGACATACTAAGGAAGCCAACAATGTTTATTGAGTTGGATACAAAGATTAAGGTATTACTTCATCAAGCAAACACATAACACAACTGGAACCCAGAAGCTGCAGTGGAGGGCAAGGGAAGTGTATTTTTACTTGGCTGTTTAATCACTTAGAGCTTTTATGCAAAACCCCAGCAGCCACCTACCAGGGGAAATTGGCATGACTTTAGGTGAGTCAGTAATCTCAGATACTGAGAATTCTGCTGCCAGGTGTTTTCTTACACTTTAAAATTCTAAGAAAGTTTTAACAACTTACAAGAGATTACTGATACAGCCTTGTCTTCACTATAGAATCACAAGATGATACCATACTGCTGTGCTTTCCCAAACCCAAGAGGGAAATCCTAACTCACAGTAAGAAATCCCTGGGATACAGCAGCGAACTCAGTTGGTGAAGACAGAAAAGGTTGATGTTCTCCAAAGGTTACTGTAAACCTCTCTTGTTGAGATCTGACATTATTTGTGCATGAAAAACTCTGTGAAGGCATACACTGTGTGAATATATACCAAGTAATGGCTTTCCTAACTTCTGTTCTTTTTATTTGAAAGGCTAAGAAGGCCGAGAGCTCATCAAATGACAATGACACTTCAAATGAAGACAGCACAAGGCTGCACAGTGCTGGTGAGTATGCCCTAACCAAGCTGTCTGTGACTGTTTGCAGAGATGGACTCTGCCTCTTTGGGGTTGTCCCTCCCTTCCTTTGTGACAGAAATTTCTCTCTCCCCAGGCCTCCTCAAGGAAATGTTCCCATAAATTGTTGATCTTTCTAGTGCATATTTAATAAACCATAGGTCAGTGTGTTTATAAACTGAGTCCTGTTGAGATATTAGTGCAAAGCTGGGAGTCTTAAGGTAGAATTAATTTACCTTATTCATTCTCAAATCTATAAGTTACTAATGAATTTCGATCCCATACTTAATTGAGGGCATTTTTAATCAATCATAGGCATTTTTAATTTCAACCCAGCAAAATTCTCATGGCTTATTTAACTTCTGACCAATTTGCACAGCATTGCACCATCTCAGGCAGGCCAAGAAGAGAAAGTTTCTCTGTTTGTATCTCTAATACAAGCCCTTCCAAGGAGAAATCTAAATTCTCATGCAAAATCTGATGCCAGAAGGTTCCATCTGGAAATTAGCACATCAATCAAAGCAGTTTCTAGTAGCTTCCTACTTTGAATTTTTCAAATTTCCAAGGTTTCAAATTTTCTGCCTTTTTAATGAAAATGAAACATATTCAGTTTCACTTTGTCCATGTTCCCTTTCCAATCTTCTCTGTTAGATTCTTGCATGAACTTCCAGTGTAAAAGAGGACACATCTGCAAGACAGAGCCACAGGGAAAACCCCACTGTGTTTGTCAAGATCCAGTGACTTGTCCTCCAGCAAAACTCCTTGACCAAGTAAGTGTTCGACAAAGTAGTTCCCAAGATGCCCCAAAAAGCACATAATTTGAATGAAAATAGTTTACAATTGAAATTTTTTAAAAAGCAGATCCACAGTTTATCTAATATTTGAAGTAATATTGAGCAGGAGCAAATGCCAGCCCAACCAAAGAATTTCAACTCTGCTATTAAAACGCAGTAACGCCATCTGGGCTGTGGAACTCATTTCAAAGCTCATTCTGTCCTTGAAACATCTGCAGTTTTCATTTTACTGAACTTACCTGGAGTTAAATTGTCACTGCCATTGATGTAGTTTAATCTTTTGGTTCCAAATCAGAAGATTACAATATTAATAGTCTCACCTATCTGACCACATCTTTAGCACAGCACTGTTTCTCAAAAATCCCACAAGCTTTCAGGAGCAGGGTGTTTTTCAGTGAGCATTTGGCTCTATCAGTGTTTTATCTCATTTGTCTTTTATTTTTTATTATTGTTGTGCTGGGGGTATATTGTGATACTTATAAAAGTTCTTACAATACAGCAACTATATCATACTTGAATTTACCCCCTCCATCATTCTCCTTTATCCTCCCTCCCCCCCATTCCTGGAATAGTTTCAACAGGTCTCATTTTTCCATTTACATACATGTGTACACAGTATTTGTATCATATTCACCCTCCTACACCCCTTCCCCACATCCTTCACCCTTCTACTAGTGCCAACCCCCCCCCAAAGACAGCACTGTTCTGCCCTCCTGTTTTCTAATTTTACAAAAAGAAGAAAAATGATGTTTTTATTTGCTTAAGATAGCTATACAGAGAGTTTCCTTGTGACATTTCCATGTATATATGTATTATAGCCTAATAGGTTCATCTCCTCTATTTTTACTCTTTCTTTGTCCTTTCTAGACTTGTGGCACTGACAACCAGACCTATGCAAGCTCCTGTCATCTGTTTGCTACTAAGTGCAGACTAGAGGGCACAAAAAAGGGGCACCAACTGCAGCTGGATTATTTTGGAGCCTGCAAATGTAAGATGCCATCATGCCTGACACCTACCATTTCTGGGAGGGTTTGGGGTGAATCTGTACATGCCTGACTCCTTTATAAGCAAACAAGAGGAAGCTAATGTAATCATGAACTCATGCTGCACATTTAAATCAACTGGAAAGATAAGCAATAAGAACAATTCCCAGGCCTTATCATAGGAGACTGTGATTTAATCGGACTTGGTTGGAACCCTAGCTTTGTTTTTTCATAACTTAGACAAGCAATTCTAATACACAGTCAGGGCTCAGAAACACTATAGTAATGTTATCCACACAAAAGTCGAGATGAAATACTGGAATTTTGCTGAATTTTTGGCCCTTGCAATTTAAGTCTTTGCCAAGTTTTATAACAACATATTATTCCAGAAGTTTCTCAAAGTTGTCTTCCTTTCCCAGGATGCTCTCAATTGTGTTTGACTCTCCTTGCTGATAAGTGATTCTCCACATTCACAGCACCCACTTGTGTTTCCAGTTCTCCTCTACTCCCAGACACAAGAGGATTAAACCTGTCAGTCCTCTTGATGTTAGATGTGGTCATATGACTTTCTTTGCCCACTGAAATGAGCAAAATGGCCCCATGTGTGCTCTGGGAAGAAGCACATAAGAACTAGTGTCCAGAACCCCACGCCCTCTTCCCTTGCCACTGCACACCCTGAGGCCTTGTGTTGTGATGGTAGATGCAACAGATGAGCCCAGGGTCACTGTGATGAGCAGAGCCCTCCTGCCAACATGCAGCGGGCTTATAGCAGGTCAGAACACGTTTTTGTTTCTTCAGCCACAGAGATTTAGCATTACTTGCTACCATGGTGTAAGCTAAGCCCTACCTTTTCCTCTGGTCACAGCGCCCTCCACTTCTACATTCCAGCTTCCTGGTTCTCAGCCCTAGCTGAACACCAAAATTACTTTTGGAACTTTTAAAACATCTTGCTGCCCAGAATCTACCCAATCTAGACCAATCCAGTCAGAATTTCCTTGAATGGGACCTGGCATTTTTAAAACATCCTGAGCAGTTCTGCTGGGCCACCAGAGTTAAAGACCACTGTTGTGATCCTGGGGCAGTGAACTTCTGTCAGCCTCCAGAAGTTGTTAAGCTCCTTTTGTGAGGATTTGCCATAAGGAAGATATAAGCCCAAAGATCACAATATTTTTCTGTTTATTCCAGCTATTCCTATTTGTACAGACTTCGAAGTGGCTCAGTTTCCTCTACGGATGAGAGACTGGCTCAAGAATATCCTCATGCAGCTTTATGAACCAAACCCTAAACACGCTGGATATCTAAACGAGAAGCAGAGAAGTAAAGTATGCCATCCATGGGTTGCTATCTGTCTGTTGATAGGACCTGAGGGACAAAAGGTGTTATAGGGTTGCTACATACCTCTGCACAGTGGCAGAAGCCCCCTCTGCATCCCCACACCTGATTCGCCTGCTTGGGTTAACATTTTAGTAGTGATCACTATTTGTGCCAGTTTGGGATACTACCAAACTACCCCACCCTACCAAAGGGGCAGTGACCTGAAAGCTGCTCTTTAACTCATTCTTTGTGATTGAGCAAAGTTAACATAAATTCAATATTTACATAGTGAGACCCTGTGTCAGTCAACTTTCCATTACTATATGAAATGCCTGAGATAAAGCAACTTAAAATGAGGGAAGATTTATTTTGGCTCACAGTTTTGGAGGTTCCAGTTCATGCTGATGTGCCCTGTTGCTTTTGGACCTGCAGTGAGGCAACACTTCATGGCAGGGAGCACAGGCAGAGCAAGTTGCTAGGAAACAAAGAAAGACCAAGGAGGAGCCAGGGTCCCAATATCTCCTCTGAGGGTATGCCCCCATATGACTAGGGGACTTCCAGCAAGGCATGCCTCTTAAAGGTTTTACTACCTGCCAATACTGCTTTGGGTTGGGGACCAAGCCTAAACTCATAGGTCTTTGGAGGACATTTATCCAAACTACAGCAGGCCCAAATGTATTTCTTCAATCTAGTTTTTTGTTTTTGCCTTTATAAGCCAAACATAGATGCTTGATAAAAGGAAGCCCATTACTCCCAATGTCAGTAATATAATAAAACTTAAAAGTACAGAATAAATACTGATCCCAGAAGTTTCCAGAGAAAATTCATTCATCAGGTAGTTACTGAGTGTATCTTAGGTGCCAGGAATTGATGTAAGTACTGGAGATACAGCAATGAGCCAAATGCTCTGCCTTCACAAGCTTACATTTAGGTAAAAAAGACAGACTCTAAAGAAATAAGCATGTGTGTGTGTGTATATATATGTATATATATTTGTATAAAAATATATACAAATACAAACATGAATGCAAATACGCAAATATAATCACATCAGAAAATATTTGCATAAGATATGTCAGGTACCATAAAACATGCTATAGCAGCTATGTTTTATCATACCTGACCTTGACAGGAACTGTTTCTATGGGGTTGAATCTGTGAGAGGAAAGCCTAAGTAGACAGGGCTCAAGAAAGAATAGGATACACGTGTGGTGGGTCACTCAGAAAGCAGGAAGATCATGATTTCAAGGCCAGCCCCAGCTACATAGGGAGACCCTAAGGGAGAAAGGAAGTGGAAACAGCAAGGATAGCCAACACTTTTGAGGAGTGTTGGTGTAAGGGGCTGAAGAGAAATGGAGTAGAAACTGGAAGGAAAGTGAGTTCAGGAGGCCATCTACCAATGGAAGATGGTAGAAGACATTCATATGTTTCTGCAGAAGACCCAGTGAAGAAGGAAGCATTAGTGGAGAACAGAGAATGTGCTCAACAGTTAGAGGACGCTCTTCAGTAAGTGCTCCAGCCAGATGATAGAGGGCTGAGATCAGCATTATGGAAAGTTCATTGCTGGTAAAGGAGAGGGAAGTTAGTGGATGTGGTCATGGGAACAGGGTGCAGGGTCATTCTATCTGATTGCTAGGCAACATCACGAGCTGAGAGTTTCATAAGCATGGCTCATTATGTAATTTCTATCTTCCATCCTTACTTCATTGCCACAGGACAGACAGCCTGGAGTACAGTAGGGTTGCAGCAGCGGTGGATCAACCAGCAACAGAGCAGGGTTAAGCTGAGCCTGAGAAGGCACCAAGTGGGAACACAGAGAGGGTTTAGGATGGAATATGCCAGCTGGGAAAGGAGCAAGACTTTCACTAACTAATCAAAACTTTTGCCTAAGTCAGTTCAAGCCCATTTAATTAAAACGTTCTCACTGTTTTAAGGAATGCAGTCAAGATTTTCTTGGTTAAACAAAAAGATCAAAAAAGACTTCAATTTCTTTTGAAAAACCACCCGTTTCTTACATCAGCTGTTATTCTCTGTAGACAAAAGAAAAGCTATGGTATTGATTAGGAGGCATTTAATTTGTGCTGGGCATGATGTGCTGAGAAGTTTTTCTCTGACATGTTATCGTTTCTCTTCCAGTAAAGCTAACAAGTGACGGTTCCATTACACTTGTCTGATGCTCTGACATCTCCCTTCTTAATCACAGGTCAAGAAAATTTACCTGGATGAAAAGAGACTCTTGGCTGGGGATCATCCCATTGAACTTCTCTTAAGGGACTTTAAGAAAAACTACCATATGTATGTGTACCCTGTGCACTGGCAGTTCAATGAACTTGACCTACATCCCAAGGACAGGTAAAAAATGTTTGTCCCCACTTCACTGGGTCTCTCGGATATAATAATATCTATGCAAAATGGAAAGCAAAACAGAATTGGGAAATTTCCCAGTTCCATTTTAGAACAATGAAATAACATTCATAGTTAGGAGTCTAAACACAAAATTATTTTCGGAGGCTGAATGTGGTGGCATACATCTGTAATCCCCACTACACAGGAAGTGGTGATTGGGAGGATCATGGTTTGAAGCCAGCCCAGGCAAAAAATTAATGAGATCCTATCTCAAAAAAGAAGCTAGGTATGCTAGTTCATGCCTGTAATCCCAGCTACTCAGGAGGCAGAGGTAGGAGAATTGCAGTTGAAAGGTGACCCAGGCAAAAGCACGAGACCCTACCTGAAAAGTAAACTAAAGCAAAGCCAGGGTGTGCATGCCTGTAATTCCAGCTACTCAGGAGGTGAATATTAGGAAGATTGGGGTTCAAGGGCAGCCTAGCCCTACCTCATCTTAACAAACAAGCTGTGCGTGGTGGCAGATATCTATATCCCAGCTATGCAATAGCTAACTAGGTAGAAGGACCATGGTCCAAGACCAGCCCAGGCAAAAGCATGAGACTTCATCTGAAAAATAACTAAAGCAAAAAGGGTTGTGGAGTGACTCAAGTGGTAGCTCACTTCCTAGCAAGCATGACGTCCTGAGTTCAAACCCCGGCACAGTCAAAGAAAATTACACAGTACAAGTACACCATAACCCCCAAGTTTACATATTAAGTTCCAGCTTCCCACAGAGACTGTCCTCTCATTCTTGATCCTAAATTTCCAGAGATAATCTGATTGCCCCGACTTGACACAGGTGCCTACATCTGGAACAATCAAGTCCAGCCAAGGGGTAAGAACGAGGTTGCATGTCTATACACACCTATCTGCTGGAAGGAAGGCAGTTGCCAGTGAGGAGAGAAACCTTGGCGATCGATACCTCCAAAGCTGTTAGCCTCACTCACAAATTGTTTATTTGTCTTGCAGATTTTCATCTGTGTCCTATTTATGTGGCATGTACAACAACCTTGGGGAAGGAAAACGTTCTTGATGATTCTAAGACTTAGGTCTCCACGTGCAAGCTGCTCTGCTAACAGGCTGCTCTTATCTTGTTGCAGGGTCTTGACCCATTCAGAGCTCGCCCCACTGCGAGCATCCCTGGTGCCCATGGAGCACTGCATAACTCGCTTCTTTGAAGAGTGTGACCCCAACAAGGATAAGTACATCACCTTGAAGGAATGGGGCCACTGCTTTGAAATTAAGGAAGGTAAATTCACCACTAGCCAAAGGAGAGGGCTGTCCTCTTCCCCAAGTAAACCCTAAGTCCTGAGGGCCACACATCCCACGGTATCGAAACTGACAGTGGATAGGTGGTTGTATCCCAATTAGGACTGCCTTGTGTGCAGGCTGTTGTTTCAAGGTCATTTCTCACTACCTTTAGGACGCTTTTCTCTTGGAGGGTAACACTGAGGTCTCCAGGTCTTAGCACTAGGCCTAAGGAAGCAATGTTAAGTCAGTGAGCTGTGCCAAAGCTTGGAGGCTTCAGACCCTTCCTTGCTGTACATCCTTCCTCCACCTAAGCATGGGTCAAGATTTTAAAAATCATATGTGGGCCAGGTGCAGTGATTCACTACTGTAATTCCAGTTACTAAGGAGGCCAAAGTCAGGAGAATCACAGTTCAAGGCCCACCTAGGCAAAAAGATGATGAGACCCCATCTCAATGAAAAATTCTGGGCATGGTGGTATGTGCCAATCATTCCAGCTATGCAGGAAGTATAAGTAGGAAAAGCCTGGTCCAGACCAAGCAAGAAAAAAAATGTGAGACTCTGTCTCAAAAATAACCAAAACAAAAAGGGCTGGGGGTAGGGCTCAAGTTACAGAGCTCTGCCCTGAGTTTAAAACCCAGCCCCACCCCAAAAAAATCATATGCGAAGAGTACAACAGCAAGCTTGCTTCTGACAGTGAGAGTGTCAGAAGACACCTTAGAATTCATTATCAGCCCAGTGAAGACTGAACCTTACATCCCAAATTGTGCCCAGATATCATTCCTCTAATCCAAAACTGAGCTATGACTGTACCTTCAGGAACTGGGGTAAGGGGAGCAATCAGTAGAATTTAAATTTAGACAGTGTTAAGCTGGGTTATGTCTTCAGTTACTTCCTTTTCCTAAGTTAAGAGTTGACTTTTATGAGCAAATGTGTTTTCAGTAATCAAGTTGTGAAGCTGTTCACAGTTACCACAGTGAATATCAAAATCTTAAAACAGACACTTTATAAATGTATTTATGACATACATGTAGAATGAATAGGCAGCCAAGCTGACAAGAAATGCAAGTTCAAGCTCAACTCCAGTGGCTCATGCCTGTAATCCTAGCTACTTGGGAGGCTAAAATCTAGAGGATCATAGTTCAAGGCCAGCCCAAGCAAATAGTTTGCAAGATTCCAACTCAACTAATAGTTGAGCATGGTAGTGTGTACCTGTCACCCCAGAAACAGCAAAAAGTCTGAAGTAGGGGGATTGTAGTCTAGGCTGGCCTGGGCAAAAAGTGATACTCTGTCTCTAAAATACCAAAACAAAAAGGGATCTGGGTGTGGCTCAAGTGGTAGAGCACCTGCCCTGCAAAGTGCAAGGCCCTGACATCAAACTCCAGGACCACCACAAAAAAAAAAGCAAATTCATCGCAGGTCAGGATTTCCCAAAAAAGGTAACCTTCACAACCTTCACTTTAAAAGTATTCTTCATGCCTATGTCTAATGGCTTGAAATTAGAGAGAAAGATCTGAGAGCACGTAGATTCTCAGGTCAGCGGAAAAGGTTGGTCCTTTTCCTCTATAATATTATTATGTGAAATAATCACAACTCTTATGAACAAACAACATTTATTGTGGTAAACACCTAGCTTTGTGTACTTGCTGTGTATGATGCATAACACATCACCCCAAACTTAGTTTACAATCTGACTCACAGTTTTCAAGAGTCAGGAATCTGCAGGTAGCAATGGTTCTGGTTTAGGATCTCTTAGGATGCAGTGGCAGATACCTAACAGCTCAGCAAGGGATGAGGAGTTGGCTTCTAAGCTCACTCACCAGGCCGCCTGTGGGCCTCCCCATAGTGCTACTTACAACACAAGGTCTGGTTTCCTCCAGAGTGAGTGACGGGGGGTGGGGTGGGGAGAGAGAAAGCCCAAGGTCATACATTGCTTCTGCCGAACTCTGTTGATAGCACTGTATAACACTGCTACAATGTGGAGGAAGACCACATTGGGTAGAGGCTGGACCCTGTTAGCATTGACAGGAAATTAATAAGCTATTAAGACCCAGACCAATACAAAAATGTCAATTTCCTTTCTAACATCTATTCTACAAGCAAAGTACTTACACAAATTCAAATAGATTCCTAAAAAATGTTTAAAACTGTCTTTTCCAATTCCCCCATTCAAAAGACAAAATGTACCCAGGTACAGTTGCCCCCATCCAGGCCCACCCCACCATTATCAAGAGAGGAGAACTCGGCTGAGCTAGGACATTTTTATGTGTGCCCTTTCATAGGAAAAGAGATTATAAAAGCCTGATAAAAAGGAAAATTTGAACAGAGACCAATGATTTAAGGAAAACAGTTGTGTTGTGCTTCGCTGTTCCATTTGCAAAAATCCTGGCAGCTTTGAACATGTAGCCCGCCCAGGCTCTGCCCTGGGCAGTTGTCTAGGAGGAGCAGAAAAGGCTTAAAGTTCAGTGACTTGCAAAGCTCCTAATGATCTTGTTTGTGCACTGTGGTTTGCCTGTCATAACCTTATTTTGAAGAAGGGAAAAATTTATCACATAATAACCAATAAAACAGGTATTATTCTTTCTGAATAAGTAAACAAGTTATAGCTTTGGGACATAGCTAAAGAAAGAAAAAAATCAGTTTATAAATAGACTGTTCCTTTTCTCAAGGCAAAGGAATTCACAGAAGATAAATTTTAGGCAGTGTTTTACTGAATTTTGACTGCCTGTGACCACATATGTTCACGTATTCTACCTTTATCTGAGTCTGCATTTCAAGGCAGAGTTTCAGAATTAAAATAAATATTGGGGGATTATAAGCATGCAGAGTGTAATCAACACCAAGGAAAGGAATCAATTATCTCAAGGAAAATTTAAGTTACATGAAAAAGGGTTTAGGGCTGAATACCGAGGAGTAACAGAGAAGGGAGGAGTTCGCTAAAGGAGCAGATAGTAGCTCCTAAAATTTAGGAAGGAAACCAAGAGAGTGCCATTCAAAGGAGGTACTTCAAAGAGGGAAGACTAACTATGCCAAATGCAAGGAGGATAAAAGACTGAGGATGTTCATTGACATAGAACTGGTGATCTTGTTAAGAGCAATTTTGGTGAAATGGTAGGAAAGAGACCAGAATCTATAGGTTGAGAAAGAATGGGAAATAAGAAGGGGTGAAGAGTGAGTATGTAAAGGCAGGATAGTGCCGCAAGGGGGGATAGAGTTGAGGGAAGTACTTCTTAGAATAAAAAGGCTTGAGCCATTCATTCATTAGTTCATTCATTCATTCAACATTTACTTCACTGACAGTCTACACAGTACCAGGCACCATTCTATGGGCTGGATATGCAATATACTTAAATGCAAGTGGAAAGAGTCTAGTTTTTTTAAAAAGATAGTTTATAATATAAGAAAAAGTGAAAAAATAGACACAGTATCCTGAGAGGATAGAAAGAAAACCTGAGCACTGGTAAAGAAATTCACCTCAGAGTCAACAGAAATGACCTCTCTCATCTGGACATCAGGAAAAAAAAGACAAAAAGGATGTTTGCAAGTATAAATGTATAAGTAATGAAATCAGCATCTTCCATTTTACAAGTGAAGCCTGTATTCCGTAGAAATACATTGAAATCTATAAAATTTCCACTTTCTGGGCTGCATAAAGACATATTGAACAGGAAAA